GTCAAACTTGTTGTAAAACAGTGCGAAAGCATTATTTGTGCATCAAGGACTGATATATATCGCATGGGTTATAAACAGGATTTGTAATTCCAAAAGACCAATGCTTACATTTAAAATCAACATTTTTTTTGAAAATCGAATGCCATCCACACACAACTGATTTTAAAATGAATAATGAAAATATTTATTTTATGGAAAGAAAAAACTGGAGGTGACTGGCTGGATCATGCAAATAGTGACCTTAGTGTGATTTTAGACAGCATGGTGGAACATCCGTGCATTTTCCTAAGCTTTTCATATCCGAATGAATTCCAAGAGTGTAAATCACAGATCATAGCCGAGTAACCACTGAATGTATGGACATAAAACAAATATATGCTCTAAACTAAAGGTCACCTTTGATTTTTATCAGAGTACAGAAATGGAATTGACTGGTGGAAATGCATAAATCAGTTAAGCAGATGTTTGATTGAGAAAATATATAGACACCATTTGGGGTCATTTGTTGTCCGATTAAAATCACAGGCCCTGCTGCATTATATAAAAGTGTCATTATGTGCCCAGAGTTATCTTATACCTAGATAGAAGCAGTATTCATTCATATATTTTACGTTAAAATACATGTAAAAAAAAGGAATAATGAAAAGCAACCAGCAGGCATGGACCAGGGACGGCCATTTTTAAATCCTTTATATTAAGTTCGCTTGCTTGCTTGCGTGCTTGCGTGCTTGCTTGCTTACGACCGTGCAAATCTTTCTGTCGTTTTTTAACCCACTTCCCGTGATCCAATCGAGCTGACATTTTCCACACAGACTCGTTGTGCGTGACAATTAATTTTCGTGAATTTTTTTTTCCAAAATTTTACACTGTTTAGGGAATTTTTTAAAAATATTTCATTACCAATTGCTTAATGCTGGCAGACAATCATCTGACCCATAGGTGGCAGCCATCTCAAGCCAGAGGACGAGAGGACTCTAGCCGCCACGCATATAAAGGATTTAGAGTGAAAAACTTTGTTTTTACGGGTTAATGTTTTTGCCGATCCACTCTTGGGTCTCCCTATGACATGCCTTTGTAGCCTGTGCATAACTCCCTTCTTGCACACATGCCTCGAACGCTTCCACTCACTGAAGAGAGCGTGACGCTTACAGCAGGAAGTCTGATGATTGATCCCATCTGCGCTCTTCCACAACTCTATACCTTACTTTGTATCCTACTGGAAGCTTATAAATGCATCAATTTAATGTTTCCATATGCATGCTCAAGACTACGTGTAGACAATGGCTTACCAATGTGTCTCCATCTCTGTGATTTTAGACAGAGCCGAAACGAATAATCTTTAAACAGGATGTTTGTCATATGTCCGTGGGGCGGGGGGTGCAGGGAGTGGGAATAAAATGCCCTTTGGCGTTCTCTGGTCTAACACTGGTTGAGACTCGGCCCTAAAGAAGGCTGCCTCTGGTGTAGACCAATCAGTTTCAAAGACAATGCATTTCTTACCCGAGCATGTTTTTGTTTGCATGTTCACCACAAGTACGTGTGTTTAATGCAGACATGATTCATTGCAAAAGAGTTCTGTTTGGTGTTTGTATGTGTTTACACCTATTTTATTGCCAGAAAGGGTAAAACCTATTCTTATGAATTGAGTATGGTTAAATAGCCCCCATTACCGGCACAGTGTGAAGACGTTTCCGTATATTAGGTTGACAGTTACCTGAAAATAAAAATAATAGTTTAACACATAATAGGATAACAGGATATATTGGCTGAATTTGTTATATGCACTTTGAAATAATCATGAATACCACAGGGAAGCCTCACGGCATTACAAGACTCTTTAATCGGGGTTTCGGATACATTTGGATGTTTGGACAATTACATTAATGAGAGTTTGGCTATTTGTGGAAGGAAACTGCCATAAATCTTGACTTAAAGCTTTCGTGACTGCAGGAATTCATACTCTTTTCGTCTTTTGGTAAAGTCACGTAGATAGAAAAATAATAGAGTAATAAAAAATCACGACGTTTCGATCGCAACACAAGAAATCGTCTTCAGGTGAAAAAATACAGCAGGCAGGAAGAATATAGCAAGAGAGCTACTGCAGCCATAAGTTATAAAGGTTTGAGATGGGTACAACCCAAGGAAACTGGCATACCCGGAGAAACCCCACGACACATCGGAAGGGGTGACACTCAAAGCTCCGCATAGAGAGGTTCAAGAATCCATCGCGGTGCTTCTCTCTTCTGACCACCTCGCAGCCAGCCCAAAACCTACAGCACCATATATTTCCAAGCAATCTCCAATTCAAAAAGTAACCAATCTCAACTCTGGCATTTTGAATGTAACAAATATTTCATCTTGAGGGATAAATTCATCCCCAAAAGGGATGACAACTGAAATTGAAGTCCTGGGGATATCAAAAAGCCGAGTCAGGGATACCCCCCCCCCCATCCCTCAAATGAAATAACATCTTGTCTGGAATCCCAATCAACTAGGTTCAAATAAATAAATTGCTTAATTGAATCATAATTAGCACTAATGCCTGACAAGATGTCCCCATACTCCTTTCTCTTGATGTAAGCACATCACCTGTACTGTGAGCAAAATACAGCAGTGTGAGTGCATCTAACTTGTTGATGGTTGAATGCATTAATCATTTTGGCTGTTTGTACATCATCAATGAAAATAACACGTGATTATCATTCCAAACAACATTTCTCAAAATCAAAAAATACTTAGAGGTAAGAGTTTTCAAAACCTCGAAGGTTACTACAGCATTCTCGATAAGGTAATTCCAGCATTTAAAACTAATGTGGAAAGGTTTGGCAAGCACACCTGTAAACCCTATTTGACCCTGGTATGGTATGTATATTGAACTTCTTTCAACTTAAATTAATTCCTAAAAGTTATAGATATTATCTTCATAACTCTGATTTAGCCACTAGGTTAGATTCAGAAATGTGAGTCGAAAGAGTTGTAATCAGGAATACTAAATGAGTGGAGTCTCGTAATTACAGATTTAGGCAGGCGCAATGCCATCTCGTGAATTTCACTTGGACGTTACGTGCACAAGAGACATTCAAAAGCTCAATTGCAGGGGAAAATGTGTAATTACACACCAGTCCCAGACTCTCATCAGACTATTTGACCTGGAAAGCTGCATGGTTTTTATTGATGTCATCCTTTGAAATACATAAGTGTAACTAATGCATGCATGAGCTAACCCAACAGAACTCTAAATGAAAGCTGTCTCCTTAAACTGAAGCTAGGTGTTAACAATGGGAACAGGAAACACAATTTGGGGAAATGAGAATTTCAAAAATAAATACTTGGCAAACTCATTAGCACCTTAACAAAATTCACATCTTACAAATAAAATGTTTTCACATTTCCTTTTTACATTTGTTTAAAATGCACATTAGACTGGTCTCTGACAATTTCACAGTGCTACAGGGTTGCTCTGAATATATATATTCAGTGCAGCCATTGCACAACACTTTTTCCATACCCATTCCACCTCAAAACTTAAAAATATGCAAAGTGACAAGGCTAACATACTCAAGTCCTGCAGAACCCTAAGAGGAAATGTAAAGCTGTTGTGATAGAAAAAAGGTTTCCACAGGAGATAAGATGCAGTGAAGGGAATTTGTACAAGAAATTTAAAACATTGGCATTTAAAAAAAAAAAAAATCATACTTTTCAAAATCACATTTTGAGCTCAACAGATAACTGCGGGCAGGTTGAGAAGTGTGACATTGTCCTCATAGACACAATAAAACATTACATTTACCCTGGGGATTGCTGACGAAGCACACTTTTCACATTCAATCGGTATCCTTATTAAGATCCAGCACATGTACAGTATAGTCCTAATGCAAGATTGTACTAAAACTGCACATGTAATACCACGTGGGGGTGTTTACATTTCAGAGATGATTGTGACTCTTATCTTGGAATTAATCAAATATCACTTAACGCCAATAGTACATGTAACTGCCCATTTCGGGGATAGAACAGATGACTCAAGGACTCGTTTTATTTTTCAACATATAATTGGTCTATTATTTTTAGGTGCAATGTAATCACTGCTTCGAGGATTTGGTCAATTCTTTGGCTGCACAATAGGTCCCTGGCATACCAGCGAACCAACGATGCTGAATTCAAATGATGGATTGTGCCCTGCGTTCTCAGCAATAACACATAACACAATTTATCTGCATGCAGAACGTACAACCAACGTTCATGCACTGGGTAAAAGGTAATCATATATAGCTGTTCGTATATATATTTTTTAATTATGTTCAAGATGTAGTGCAAAATAAGCAATTATTTCTGCAGTACACGATGTAGCCAGTCTACCCCAAAACATACATATTTGAACAGCTTTACATTTCTGACTCGCAATCTCACAATGTGAGCTGTAATGTATATTTTGGTATCAGCAAAACTCGGGTGCAGATGTGGCTTCTCATTTATGCATTATACATGAGGTTAAGCCACTGTATGAATTACGGAGCAGTAATACTGTAATGCAACCAAACATACGCAGAGAATGCTGTGCACACTTCATGCAACCACTGAAAAAACATTATCCATTGAATAGCCCTTTAACTGCTTATCGTGCTGAAAGTGAACGCAATTAATAAACGAAAGTGGAAGTAAGAAAACATCACCCCTAAATTAGGCTTCCAAACATGCATGGTAATTTCAGCATAATGAATCAAGAGTGTGATGACAAATGTAAGCTTCAGGTGTTTATTTTTTTTACTTTTCACTTAAAATAAAAACAAGGATTGCCCTATGCTCCACAAAGTATCAGATCAAGTGCTGATCGTTAGTCCCCTCCAGTTGGTGACTTTTTTTTACTTGAAAAACACAAGCTCGTGCGTGTGCACATAAATGCCGGGTTCACAAACGAATTGGATCGAGTGTTTAATAGGCGGCAGAGTCACTTGAATTGAAACAACAATATCGAAAGAGAGCAGAGGTGCCAGACTTACAACGGCGAAGTCGTCGGGACCGCATTGTTGACCCCCAAAGCGGCACGTGAGCATCATCTCGCCGAGCGGGTGGCCCAGCCGCTCCAGAAGGGTGCGACTCAGTCCAGCAGGGTCACGGGGAGGCAGGAATGTCGAGAAGTTAGAGAGTCGCAGAAACCATTGTCGCTGCGATTCAGCAAGTGAGGCCAACACGTCGGGGTCGGCCGTGAGGTTAACAATAGTCGCCGGCCCGTTAGCCAAGCGCGTGAGAAGGCCGAGCCAGATGCCCAGGGCGTGTAAGTCGGTGCGGGTGAGGCGCGAGAAGCGCACGAGGTTGTTGTTGCAGAGCGTGATGGCCGGGAAGGTGAGTCCACGCGGCCACACCGTGCTCACTTTGCTGTTTGAGGGCCGCGACAGCAGGTGGTGAACACGGTCGGCCGATGAGGCCAGCAGGAGGGCCAGGGCCCCCACACAGGCCAGCAGCCAGAGGAGGCGATATGCCAGTGTGCGTCGCGCGGCCAGGACGTGCCGCACGCCGTGCAGTCCCGTGCGGCTTGCAAACGGTGCCGCGGCGACCGTCACTGCCAGGCGGAGCAGCAGTGAGGGCGAGCGGCCCTCTTGGCCTTCGCAGCTGGATATCTCTCCAACTTCGTTTTCGGGCTCTGGCTCCGTGGGCCTCTCCATGAGTGGCTCTGTGCTCTCTCCGCAATCCTCAGCTGCACAGCTGGTGGCCATGCTCTCTGCCCGTACGAAGCTCTCAGTGAGAAATAAGCAGCAGCAGTAGCAGCCAGATAAGCCAGAAATGTCTGCGCATGCATCTAAACGAAAGATGCCAACAATTCTTATTTGTCATCCTCATTTACCACCTGGCGTTTCCTCATTCCATGTTGGAGATTTTTCCCCTATTATCTATTGCTCTTTCAAATTCGTGCTCTTTTTAACACCAGTATGGTTTTCTTTCAGATGAAACCCAAAGGAAGCTCAGAGACAGCACGAACCCCTTACAGCGCTCGGAGGATAAAGTTCCCTTCTTTGTATTTTGACTTCATTTTCTGTGATCTAAACCAAATGCTTTAACCTGTCAATAATGTTCAAGGCAGCATCCTTTAACTCCCATTGTTGAATTCACCGTTCTTTATCACGAACAACAAACAAATAAATGTATACAAAAGAAAACTGAACACATCGCCCAACATGATGTACAATTGTAACAATAAAAAAGTACTTTCTGATCAAAATATTTTGAAGTCACCAACAATTTTCCACTGCCTTCCAAAAAGGCTTCCTTCCCACTCCTAACGCTACCTGAAGTGGCAGGTCTTCTTAAAATCATCCATTTTTATTAGCTCCGCAAAACTCCCGATTCCTATAAAGCGGTTTATTCCGAGCACGTACATCAGCAGTTGTTAACCTCACTCCATTGCCCCACGCTCTCCCAGCACGAGGGAGCAGCCCACAGTTTGCCTCACTGGAGCAGCGGCGCTGCAGCCAAACCAGGATAAACGGTCGAGCATGGCTAGCCACAGCCGCAAATCTATCACAGGACCGTCCAATTAGCTTGCTCCACCGCCCCGTGTGAATGAGGGCACAAAAATAGATCTGCTTTTGAAAAAGACAAGGATACTCTTGGGTGAGCACATTCCTTGGAATGTTGTCCTGGCTCTTTTCACGTTTTCTTCACAGCAATTAAGACATGCACAGTTGTATTTTGAAACGTTACACTTCCTCGTCATATCCACAGATCACACTGCAGCAACTTTGGCTACACTAATGTCAAAACACATTATGCAAAACATTTAGGATTTATTTCGTGTGGAAATGCAGTGGTTTCTCAAGGTGCTGCATGTCATAAGATGCGCATTGTAAAGTGTAATTATTTACAAACTCGTTTTTTATGTGATCTTTCCTGTAACCAACAACCACAGCACAAAGGCTGCATTTACTAGTGCACCATGCATCAACTGCATCACCAGCTGATGGTAGAAAACTGAGAAAATAAATAGCTACATAAAACAAATGCATAACATTTATACCTAACAAAATATAGATTTAATAATGGGCAGCTCTACACATAGATCGAAGAAAAATAGAGCACAGAGTCGCGTGGTGCATCATAATTGCACGCTGAAGTTATGTAACAGTTTTTGGTCACGCAATTGGCAAGAAACACAACACGATCCTGGGAGCAAGGATTATTGACAAATCCTAAGTAACATCCAGTTTCAACAGAGCATTGCCAAAAATTGCTAATCGACGTGTCCAGGTTACAGCTTTGGCAACGTTACTTTGTCCGAATGCATTTTACTCCAAGCAGATAATAAGCGCGCTATTTTAAAACGTCTTGTACGGCATTAACACTCACAGCAAAGAGTGCTCTGCGCAATCAAACGAACATCAGCTTTCGCTGATCTATGTTGGCAGCCCCAGGCTAGCGGTTGAAATTCTGCATTCCATCGGTGGCTTTACACGTATACAGCAAATTCAATAGACGCGACTTGTTAAACATATCTATGTACGAAAAAGAATCCTCCAGAAATTTACGCTGTGGAGTAGAGCAGAGTTGTAGGCAGCCCAGGGCAGTCTTCGCTGTCACTCCGGCTGAGCGAGGGATCAAGGATGTCACATGCAAGAGCAAGGAATTTCCACGCATAGCACGAGGAACGCTGGAAGCCGACTGCTTCACTGCCAAATTTAACGTTCTCTGCACGTTCGGCTCATTTGCCGCTCCGCTGTGACTGCGACCAACACCGCTGCTCTCCGGCTCGGCGCGTGGTTCTCACTCGAACAGAGCACACAGCTTGAAATCTAGAACACACATTGGGGGCTTAAACATGTTAACACCTAAACGCACATCGGCCGTCCGTCTGAAAGGTTTCTCATATTAACCCCTTGCGATACGAGCCATCAGCACTCATTATTGTAGGCTGCACCGAGGTGTGCAATTCAACGCAAAATATTGTTGCTGTGCAGTGATTTGCTGTCTTGCTGTATTAACAATGACATTAATCTGTCCCGTTGTTTAAGTAAATACAAATATCCGAAAAAGTGCATGTATAAAATGAAGCGACCATTTTAAGGCACAATATCCAATATAATCACGGTGTTGTCAGTAAACAAAACATTACAGCAAAGGGTTTGGGCAATCGCATTCATGTTGTATTGGTCAGATAATCTCATTTTCTGTGCAGAGGCCAACTCAGTAGGGGATGGGGGAGAGACATGTGGGAATTACATGGGGGCGATGGACTCGCACGAAGCAGAGCGTACACACGCTGTACAGAAGCGGTGGGTGTGCAATATATTTTGAGGATGAAATTGAATTTGGTGTGTGGAAGGCTGAATATCAACAGCGTACACCCCTCCATCCACCCCCCTTCGGGCTGTTTCCCCTCCATCTCTCAATTACCACCTCCCAACACCCACCTAAGCCATCTTCCCCCTCTCCTCACCTCGCTAAACAACTTTTCAAACCTTCATTCCAGGATCTCAACTGCACGCCTGCAGTTGTATTGGTTGGTGTGGCGAGCAAGCTCGGCATGCAATCAGACACGGCTAGGTCATTATCCTAGGAGCCTCTTATCTCAGTCATGGGCGGCTTGCAGCATAATCAAAAGTAAACGTGTGCACATGTTTTGAAGGGCAGCCACATGAGAGCCAACGTAAACGCCTACACAACACTGGATCTGACATCAACGAACATTGCACAATTATAAACGCTTTGAAATAGATTGCACATTCCTCCCGCAATTTGTGTTGTTTGAGAACTACCTTTCGTAAACTGGTCAGTGAGAATGCATTAAAACATGTGGGTTGTCACGTTATATTGATGACTAGCATTACTACCTGGCTTCGCCTGAGACTTGGATTCTTGTCTGGCATTAATTCACGGCCTACGCGGAGAGTGGGGGATGCGTGACGTCAGCAGGCACACTGCGTGACATGCGGGTGACATCACAGATGTCACCGCTCACTGCAAAATATATGCATTATTGCGCCCCCCCCCCTCCCCCAAAAAACAAAAGTCTGTTTTATACATTTTGCATTGTGTACAGTCTGGAAGCTACCCACATGCCAAATTTCAAGTTTGTTGCATGTTGGGAAGTATGCTAAACATTTTGAACAGACACACATTCACAAATTTCCCATTGATATATATAGATTAAATTAAACACATTTTTTATGCAAGTGTCGTTTTTGCAACTTTAGCCAACAGCAAAATATATCCCAAATGATGATACATTGCATTTAATCTGACCGCAAGCGGGATTTTGTCTCTATTAATCTTCACGAACAAAGTGATTCACTGACGTGGAGTGATACTTCATCACAGATTGTCGAGGCTAAAGACTGTAGAAAGCCACAGTGTTAATTTGGAGCTTTCGTGACTGCAGGAATTACTCTTTGGTTCTTTCGGTAAAGACACGTATAAAGATAAAATAATAAATTAAATAATAGCATACGACGTTTCGATTGCAACACAAGCAATCATCATCAGGTATAAATGAAATAGCAACAAAAATCTAACCAGAAAACTATAAACAGACATATAAGCAGACAGATATCACCAAGATACATAGAGAGAGTAACACATAGGCACAGAGAGGGAGATCGTCTCTGTGGCGAGGCCTTAAATAGACAGAGGGGGGCGGGTGCGGAGAGAGGGAGGGGGTTAGAGAAAAAATTTACATGTCAATGAGTACGAAGAGACGCGTAGTAAAGTACGCAGGCTTGAACATTAGGAGAGAGGGAGAAAGAACACACTAAATTAAATAACCTAGCAAAATATCGAAATGTTATGTAATACAACACAGAGAGTCGGTCAACACACAATTAACGCATAGCCTGGTCGATTACGTATTTCAAAGAATGCTAAGTTAGAATTTAAGTGTGAAAATTCCAAACTGATGAACATTGTCGCTTGCCGTGCACACTGTAGAACACCATACTAATGGGTGGTATGTGTCATAAGCAATACAAGGACATCTTATGCCTCTCGTCAGACAAGAGCTGTGGTCCAGCTGGTCTTATTAAAATGTCAACCATCTGCTGTCCTTTACAAACGTTCTAAATGTTATGCAAGGTGCCTGGTATGCGACTAGATTGTGTGAATAAAAAAGAGATTGCTCAGTAACGGCCAAGGATAAAAATAACCAGACTTATTTACACTTGACTCAAAATTGCAAGGCTGAAACTTTAAATCCTGGTTGATGGTTACTCAACCCATCGCCTCTCTGCAATTTCTATGGTCGATAGAATGACTATCACTGTGTGGATGTACTATTGGACAGCCTGGCTCTAATCACAGGAATGTGGATTGCCACTTTCCTATGGGCTGCTGATGGAGATCAGTGCCATGGAAGGAAGTACGCGAATTTACGTTGTTGAACCTATTTCGCACCGTACGTAGTCAATCGTGCTAATCGGAGGTGCGGGGAAGATGGGTGCATGCACTAAAATATTAAAGAATGAATACACCACAGTCTACACTTGACTTAGATTTTACTTTGTCTTAATTTACCTTATGTTATTTCAATGTATTTCTTTTAAAAATACATTTGCATTATATATATTTAAAAAAACATTGCATTGTACCAATGTGTCTCCAAATTAAATGATGAATTCGTGTAAATTTCCTGCTATGGTATGGATTACAAAAAGACATTGACAAAGAAATTGCAATAAAGCTGAGAAGTCGCCAAAGAAGCATGGAGAAATGGATTCCTGGAATTACACTGAGAGACTGGAAGGGGAATAAGTGAATTAGATAAGCTATTATGTGGATTAGATAAGATCCCACGTGAGACATATTTACTGGGTTTGGGCAGGACATGCAGCTAAAAGAGATGATGGCCGATGGGGGCATAGGAGATGGAGCGATCAAATCACGTGTGCAGGTGCTAGATGGACTGTTGCATCACAAGACCGTGCAAGATGGTGATGGCTTGGGGAAGCCTTCATCCAGCAGTGGATATATGATGGTTATTAATGGTGATAAGGTATTTTAAAAGTATGCTCTTTAGATAAGCATTTAAGCTTAAAAAACATATATATACATATACTTTTTAGTCCTTTCGGTAAAGTCACGTAGGTATAAAATACAGTATAACTTTCAAGTGTTTCCATGTTCTATCGGTAGTGATACGGACGATGGGCTGCTTTAGTTAAAGCTTCAATGTATGTCGGTAAATCCTGTTTTTAAAATGTACAACATTACATCTGTATGGTTTCACCTCAATGATGTGTTGAAAACCAGGACATCACGCAGAGATGAGGTTCTTGTTCTTTTAGACAGGGAGTGGCAGTAAACCCCGTGTTTAATTTATTCACCATACTAGGGGCGGGTATAATTGACGTAAATGAAGACTGCAGTTGAGATAATGATCGCTTCACGAAGACTCGTTGAATTTCACCTGGGGCGCTATTTGCGTAGGAGCTCTGACCGTCATTCTGCCAAACGCTAGCTCACGCATTCGTTTTGTTCATTCGTTTCTCAGCCCGCTTGTCCTGTTGAGGGTCACAGCAGTAGCATGTTGAGTAGGGCGGTCCAGACCTCCCTTTCCTTAGCGACAGACTCTAGCTCTTCCTGGGGAATTCCCAGGCGTTCCCAGGCCAGCCGAGCGACATAGTCCTGCCAACGTGTCCTGGGCCGACCCCGGGGTTTTCGCCCAGTCGGACGTGCCCGGTAGAGTTCCAGGGGGAGTCTACCCGGAGGCATCCTTACCAGGTGCCCAAACTATCCCAACTGGCTCCTCTCGATCCGAAGGAGCAGCGGCTCGACTCCGA